AAGAAACAAAGAGCCAAAGGAAACAAAAAGGGGATAGTCAAAAAAAGGATGTTAATGTCAGCAGATACTACAATACGATGAATCCAATCAGACATGTGAACACCATTTCTTCATTCATTTAAAAAAAACTTTAAGTGAAATATTATGAGAAAAAAACAGAACAATAAAAGTGAGAATACTTAAAAACAAGGCTCCTTGTGTAGACCAGTATTATATATAAATACAAGGGAATTTTAGACATAGATCTGTCCCTGTCTTAGCCAGGCTGTTATCTTTAATTCAGTTATCATTTAGAGTGAAATATAATGAAGGATGCTGAAAAGGGGACTCCCCTATGAGCTAGTCTCTTCCTAGAAATCCACAGCAGTATCTGTATCCACAGGGCCCCCTATCGTCTTTTTTCTTAATTTTTTTCATCATCTGCTTTTTAGCCAATACTACAGCCATTCCATAGCCCCTCTGGGTAACCTGCCTGCAAGCACATTCGCGCTAATAGATGTTACGCTCACTCAGAAAGAATTATAATGATATGTAAGTAATACGATGTTAAGAAGCTAAATTATCAGACTAAGTGAATCTTCCAGTATATTTTAAAACATTCTACGGAGACTCCAGTGGCTGTATTATAAATGTATATTAGTTTTATATACACATGTAAATACATGTATGGATTGGTACAGATCTCTTAAAAGACATGGGAGTCGCTCTCATTTATCCACATAGGTATTAACCACTTTAGGTGTTTTTCATCCAAACTCATTTCTCCCGTTCTGGGTTTCCCTACACAAGACTCTCAATCCTCTATTGATCTCTTCTGTCTCTAGTCTAAGTTGATTCCCTTTTCCAGGCAACCTCTGTCCTTGATAACCTTCAGTGCAGTTTGGGAGTTTGTTGACAATGGATCAGAGTCAGTAACATTATTTGCTGAACCTCATGGGGAGTCTTTTAAGGAGGAGGAAGTTGACCAGGGTAAAGACAAAAGAATGGCAGTTAACGCTCAGAGTGACCATCTTAGGAGGTCTTGACAGTGGCAGAGCAGGAGTGACCGATCTGTTGTGAGAAACTTCGGCTTATTCTATGCACAAGACTCCTATTAAGAGAACATAGCCAGGGTAGGTTTATCTGTCGGTCAATAATTAACTAGGAAAGCTCTGAGGAAGACACAGCAGATGCAAGAAGTAATGTATACAAGCAGGTTGGCTAGAAACGAGATCCCCTTCTTATCACAGCATCTTTGGTTCCATCCCCTGCTGGTGTTCTTAAAGGGAATAATTGAACTAGTAACTTCTATAGGTTTTAAAGTTAATTTTTTTTTTAGAGTTTCTATGGGTAGTACCCCTCTACGTATAATGTGATCATATAATGCTATCATTTTTTAAGTGCCAACGATTGATAACTCCTGACTTTATAAAATCCAGTGGTAAAGAATACAGATAGCTTTCCTCAGGTCTTTCAGTGCTTTTCTTTAAAGTGTCAAACTCAAGAAAGGACAAGGGCTGCACAGGTAGGATTAACTTCCACAAGGGAAAGGAAGTACATGATTTCTTATGCATCATTTTGGGATAAAGCCACAGGAAGAGGTCAGCCAAACCAGAAAGCCCAAGCTCTCTTGAAACTGTTGATCTCATGATTTAAATCAAGGCTCAGACTCCTGTGTAAGCCTGAGGGAGACTTGCTTTATTGGATCTTAGATGACTATTCCATTCTCTGTTAGCCGTCTGTGAGTGAACTTCCCCCCAAAACTGTTTCATCCTAATTTCACAGTATCTCTGGTTGAGCCTCCACAGCAAGCATGTCCCTTCTTTTTAGCAGATGGCTTTTGTCAGCAGGGAGCCTAAAAGCCAATTGTCATAAAAGATGACACAAGGATGGGGGAGGGGAACTTGCTTTGACAAACATCTCCCAGTTTTCCTGTAGTGAAAAGTTTCTCATCACATAAAAGTGTCTGAAGGCTGCAACTGAACCAGAACTTTAATAAATGTTTATCCTTTAGAAGGATTCTTTCCAAGGATCATAGGTTTTAAAGCTGGAAGGAACCCTAGCCATCCTCAGCAAGTTGCAGAGGAGCGTTATATGGTATAACTTTGAGAAAAGTGAGTCCAAAGAGAAGTGCTTTGTGTCAGGTCACACAGTGCGTATTAGCAGTAGACTCGGGGTTAAACAGAGCCCAGGCCTCCTGCCTGCTGGCCCCTGGGATTCTGAGTCTCATTTCTCCCCTTCTTTACAAAAACTGTATTTGGTTGTGATTCTGTGTGCTGTCATTGAAAAAGGTCACTGCTTTCACTGAATAAGTAATTACCATTTATTGAGTGGCTACTGTATACTTTCCTCTTTATTTTTTTCATTTCAAACAAGCTTTTATTTTCAATGTGAACAATACTGTTATCTCTAAAAGGTAAGGGTAAAGTCAGGTGTCAGTTAATATCATTTTGGGGTGTTGAACTTTGAAACAAAATTGGTATTTTGGGCTAACGAAGACTAGAATATCCAGGAAGAGCAAATGCGTCTTTCTTTTGCCATCGATTTCTTTTATGCCTTCCAACTGTGTTCTCTAGAGCTGCCCTCTGCTGAGACCGTATCCTTTTTAAGTCCTTCTTCTGGTTTTTCATTCCCATCCTCGTCATCAGCGTTTTCATATTGATATTCACTCTCTTCTTTAGAACCATACAGACTTTGGGATCATAAGTTGGCGGAAAAAGTATCCCAATTTAAAATCAGCAGCAGAATCTAGTACCCTGCCCTCAGGAGGATCGTCCCCCTCTTCCTCTTGGTCCACATAATTCTCATCCTCTCCCTCATCTCTCCTTCTCCTTGTCCAACTCTCTCCTCCTCTTCTTCTGCCTCTTCCCGCTCTCCTACCGGCTGTACATCCCAGTACTCCTTGACTATGGGCTGGGCGCCCTCCTGCCCACCCTCCTTTGCCCGAAGAGTTCGCACTACCACCTGGAAATCCCTAGGGGCTGCGTCTCGGCCGACCCTGGTACGCATTCGGCAGGCACCCCTCCTCCCCTGACTGATCCAGGGGCGTGGCCCATCCCACTGCCTGCTCTGTTCTGACCACTGGTGGCTGGGCCTCGCTTCTCTGTGCCAGACGTGGCAGGAGAGATGCACCAGTCAGTGCCTCAACCGGAGAAGTGATCTGCCTGCTAGACCAAGTTGGCAAAGATTTTCCTCTTTTTTTTCTAAAAAAAATCCTGTGAAATAAAACCTATTTTATACATGAGGAAGGGAAGGCTTTACGGAGTTTAAGAATTCATGCAAAGCCACACCATGACCAAGCCAGGATTCAAACCCAGGGCTGTATGTGTCTGGATCTGGTACCCTTTCCTGCTATGCTGACCTGTCTGTCTTTGTGTGATTTACTTTCTCAGTAACTACAGTATTGCAATCTGAAGAGACCGTCTTTTCGATATGACAATGGATATCAATAGCTCCTTTGTCTTTAAAAGTCTTTAGAGAAATTATCTAGAATAATACAGGAGTACCTAGTTGGAGATACTGTGGGTTCGGTTCCAGGCCACTGCAATAAAGCAAATATCACGATAAATCGAGTCACACGAATTTTTTGGTTTCCCAGCGCATATAGAAGTTATGTTTACACTATAGTGTAGCCTGTTAAGTGTCCAATAGTATTATGTCTAATAAAACAATGTTCAGATCTTAATTTAAACATACTTAGATTGCTAAAAAATGCTAACCATCATCTGAGCCTTCATCGAGTCATTATCGGTTTGCAATAGTAGCATCAAAGATCACTGATCACCATAACAAATATAATAATAATGAAAAAATTTGAAATACTGCAAGAATTACCAAAATGTGACACAGAGACGTAAAGTGAGCAAACACTGTTGGAAAAATGGCGCCTACCTGCGACTTGGTCGAGGCAGGGTTGCCACAGATCTTTAATTTGTAAAACAAAGAAAACCAAAATATCTGTGAAGCACAATAAAATGAGATCTGCCTGTTTTGGTTCATTTTATAATGAAGGCTTGGTGTTCATTAAGACAGTTTAATAACTCTTTATATATACTTAATATACTGACCTGGAAAGATGTCCATATTAAATTAAATGAAGAAAGTAAATTGCAAAACAGTGTATATGGTATAATCCCATTGATTGGTTGAACATGACAGGTGCACTGTTAATATATGTGTACATAGATATATGTGCACAGAGAATGTCTGGAAGGACACACACCAAACTCTTTAAAATGGTTCGTGCTGATGAGTGGGATTGGGGGCCAGCTGGTTAAACAGAGAATTAGGAGACTATTTCTGTATCATTTTAATTTTTTTATAACCAAGGTATATTATTTTTAAAAACCAATTTTAAAAAATTAAACTTTATAAACCCTTTACAACAGTTTAACCTTTTTTAATAACTAGAAATTATAATCAAAGTCATTATCACTGCTCTAAACATATAAACGGTAGTCAATCAGGAAATAGTATGGGTTTTTTTCTATTGTCATGAAAACATTTGTAAAGTACTGACAGCAAAGACCAGTGTTAATTCTTTCACCAGACCAAAAGTCCTAAAACTAATCTCGACCCCAAATGAAAGTCATTTGTAGCTTATGGAATATTATAAAATCATGGGGTTTAACTTTTTACCTTGAACTACAAATGCATCATTCATTCGCCACCTTTTCCCATCTTTTATTTGTTCTCCAGGTTTTTTTTTTTTTTTACTTCTCAAGAGCCCTCCTCCATCACTGCATGTTTCTTTCATGTTTTTTGATAATAGCCTGTTTTTTCCTAGACATCTAATAGATATTTTTTCTTTAGGAATTAGTTCTGTTGTTACCAGGCATAAAGTCTTTAGGGATGAGTTCAGCTGTTACCAGTTTTCACGTAATTATTTTTACAAATCTATCCAAAAATCTGTTTAGATTTTTAGGACTAAAACCTTAAACAGTGTTTATTCTCTCTCTCTTATCTTTCTCCTCTGCTAATAAATACATTTGTTTCTGCATTTTAAAAAGTGTCTTTCTGCACATAAGCATGACTGAGAAGCTGCTGAGAAAGCCACCAGCCAGGCTGAAAAAACTTAAAATCAAAAAGGAAATAAAAGATTTCCTGAGGAAGAGAAGATGCAGGCAGTGGAGGAGTGCAGGAAGGTAGCCCAGGTCTCGCGTGAGGGGCACTGCCTCTGAAACGCGCGCATCCTCTCCAGTCGCCAGCTTAAAGACCAATTGCGTGGATTGTATTAATTCTTTTAGTGATCTCTATGCTTCCTATGCTGTATGTTTAGTTTTTTTAAGTTCTCTTTGTGTGGTGAAGAAATGCAGCACTATCTTGAAGTTGGTTGAATTTCAGTTTCATCCCTGTAGCCTAAGGAAGCAATATCCACTTCTGAGAATTAAGTATGGTGTTTTTTTCCTATTAAAAAAAAGAGAAACTTCAGTTGGGGCCAGGGGTGGCAGGAGGTCCCAGGTGGAGGATGGGAGATGAGAGGAGGCCGTGCAGACCCTCAGACAACTTCTACAACATTTACACACACGTGGTGCCCATAAACCCTCTGTCTGCCCTTCTGCCGGAACCAGCCTTCACAGCTCGGGTCTGACAGCCTTTACTTCGGTGTCTCTACTTGGCCTCTCAGAGAGCAAGGACAGACCACAGCCCTGTGAGGGAATGTCTGGAGGGTGTCTGGAGGATGTCTGGAGGGTATGGGGTGGGGGCTGGCGGCTGGCTCTGTCTTCTTCAACAGTAATTCCTCAACCTCTGCTTGTCGAATGATTGCATAATGAAATAGGGAAGCCAGGAATGTTCATTACAGGCAATAGTTATGAGAACTTGGAGAAAGTCACTCGGACTCGTTTTCACTCTTTAATACTGCTTTTCAGACTAAAGAAGAAGAAATAAGAAAAAGGCTGCGGAGTAACCGACTTCTGCTCCCAGCCCATCATTCAGATTCAGCTGAAGCAGGTGGGAAGGAGGCTCCGTTTGCAGAAGGACTTAAAACTGTGAGTTGTGCCGCGTTTGAACCCTCTGACCTGCCAGAAGGAAAGCTGTTGAAATGATAGAATGATAGAAATTACAGGTACGAAGGTATCGGGGTCGTGGAGTCAGACATGTCTTACAACCAAGCAGATGACGTATTCTAAAGAGCCGTTTTATGTGAATTTCGTGAAAAGGCTTCCTTTCCCCCAGGTGTGACTTTCTTAGTATGTCTCATGTTTTCTTTGACTGTCTGACCCACTGGGATGTGCCTTGGGTTTAGGAATGACTGTGAGAGCTGCCTGGGCTGGAGCTTAGCTGAGTAAACCAAATGACTATGTTAGCTTAAAAAAAAGAAGAGGAAGATTTGACTAGCTTTGGTTTTATAAAGTTGTCATTCTCCTTCAATGTGGCTTCCAACATGTGAAAATGTCTTTCATTTATGAGCACCTTTCAGCTTCCATTAATGTATTCGTGCCAAATGAAATCCTTCTTTTTGGTTCCTACCTCTTGGCTGTGTCTGCCCTCTGAGGGTCCTTTAAGACAAATTGTATGGATTTGTGTTAAGTATTTTAATGATCTGTATGCTTCTTATGCTCTATGTTTAGGTGTGTTTTTTTTCTAATTCTCTTTGTGTTGTGTTGTGATTAAAGCAATATCCTGAAGTTGGTTGAATTATAGCTTCATCCATATAGCCTAAGGAAGCAAAATCCACTTCTCAGAATTAAATGAAGTATGGAGTTTTCTTCATATGAAAAATGAAAAAGTTATCAGGTCTTATGAGTCTACATTCTGTGAAGATCTCTTGCATCCCTTTTCATACTTTCCCCTGTCATTACCTGTTCAGACCACCCGACCATTTTTCAGTTAGTTATATGACTACAACAGTCTTCTTAGTATTTATCCAACGGTCTTCTTTTTTATTTTTTGATATTTATTTCTTTATTTGGCTGCGCCGGGTCTCAGTTGTGGCATGCAGGATCTTCATTGTGGCATGTGGAATCTAGTTCCCTGACCAGGGATTGAACCCCAGGCCCCCTGCATTGGGAACGCAGAGTCTTAACTGCTGGACCACCAGGGAAGTCCCTATTCAATGGTCTTCTGCTGAAACCCTTTGTTGGCTCCCTTTTATGGTCAAGGTAAAGTCCAGCCGCCTTCTTCTGGCTGGTAAGACTCTCAGCTTTCATAACTCGCTCCTGCTGACCTTCTAGCTCAGCACATTCCCTAGCCTCTGCGTCTTTGCACATGCTGTTCCCTCCTTCCCCTCTCCCCGTCTCACTGCTTTACTTGCCTGATGTCTTCTTGTTTCTCACGTCTCCACTCAGACAGCACTTCCTCTGAAGCCCCTGGTCTGGGTTGGTGGCCGTCTCTCATAGTTGCCTTTTGGCAGCCCGGATTACTCAGTGTCGCACTTGCCACCCTCTTTTGGAATTACCGGGTGCGTGTCCATCTTTACCGCTAGATGTGTCAGTTCTAACAGGACGGAGGATGGGTCCGTCTTGATCACGGCTGCAGTTTTGTACCTTGGAAAGTGAATGGCACATGATACATGGTGTGTAGATGTTTCTTCTGTGGATAAATCAGTATACCCATATATCCTCCAGAAGCTGGAGGACAGCCCCAGGAGATGGCTTGTTTCCCTGGGAACCCATGGCAGTGCTGATTTGAGCAGAAGACCACTGGGCACCTCCTGTTTGTACATTCCCTTTGGGATGTTGCAAATGGACACCTCATCTTCCTATAGCTTGTAGGACTGAGAACTCTTGCAGCAGTGAGATATGATGATGGTGGTGGTGGACGGGGCTTCTTTCCTAACTCATTCCAGAACCAAAACCTTTAAGAACCAGTCTACTTCTTACAGCGGTACCTTGGAAAGTCCTTTAGGCTCCCTGGACCTCTTTTACCTTACAGTAAGTCCACTGCATACGAACCTTCTAGTTGAGAGCTTTCAAAGATGTGAACATGCGTTCCATCAGTGTCAGGCGTGAGTGACATTGCAGCTTGCCCTCCGTCTCCTGTTGCCGACGATTCTTCAGCTCTACCGTCTCCCACCTCCTCTCCCTCCTCCAGCCGGTAACTCTTCTTGCCTGTTCACTTGATGCCAGCCCCTGTGTGCCAGCTGTTGTACTGTACTTCTCAAGGTACTGTACTGTAAGATTAAAAATGTTTTCTTTACTTTTTGTTTGTTTTTTATGGATTACTTGTGTGAAAAGTATTATAAACCTAGTACAGTACAGTACTATTTAGCCGATTGTGTTAGTTGGGTACCTAGGCTAACTTTGTTGGACTTAACGAACAAATTGGACTTACCAATGCGCTCTCGGAACAGAACTCGTTCATATGTAGGGGACATACTGTATTTGTTAATTTGGGATCGCCATTTTCCCGGAGTTATACCAAATGAAATAATGCTTAAAAGTACTGTGCAAACTAGAATATGCCACAATATTTATAGCATATTATTTATATAAAATCCTATGTGGGCAACATGATGTTTTTCGTCTGTCCGTTGCTTTTTCTATGGAGATGATCTCGTGGTGGCATGTGCCAGTCTTATGAAATACTAGATCAGCTGATGATTTACTAGTACAAAATGATTGTACTGGGACACTTAGGAAAAGTTGGACTATCATTCAGATCTCTGCAAATAATAAAATTTAAATGACCCAAAGTACATTCAGTTCAAATTTTAGTAATTCTTGTAAGTTAAATCAATCCTCAAACTTGCTAAATACCCAAATAACACTTTCTCTTGAAATCTCATGCTCTTGCCTATGCTATTTATAGTGGCTTGGAAGACATATTTATTGAGTTAAAATATATACAATATAGATGTGAGCATTATCACTGATACCCTGGCTTGAAAACCTCTCTCTCTCTATATACAGAGTGAAACATGCCAAGTAGTAACACACCTAAAGATAAGCCATATATTTTCTTAGCAAGACCATCCATTTTAACAGGATGGAGGGACGATGCGTTACCTGGATTCTGGGAACTGCCCTAAAACTCTAGGCGTGTTACTACTCGTAAAACCTTCTTAGGGTTTAGGGGTGAAGAGGAGGCTCAGAGACTGTAGGCACTTCCCACGTTCCCAGAGCCACTAGCATCAACTGGGCAGGAGGCTTGTTTTTGGATCCGCTCTGCCTCTAATGAGCCATTAACCCCATCTCTGCAAAATTTAAAAAACGAACAAACAAAACAAAACCAACAACTTCAAATGTAAATGTGACTTTTTTCCATGATTGACTTTCTTTCTTTTTTAAAGATGATTCACACTGAACGTTAAAGGATTGAGATTTCTAAAATATTTCCTCTGGGAATAATGTTAATGTTATCTATTGAAAGAACATAATTGGTTTTCTCATTCATAAAACAAAGTTTTGAACATCACCAGTGTACTTCAATTAAAACCAAACCACAACCTTCAGGAAAGTTATGAGTCAGAAGAAGGGATTAGATAGACATCTTTGTAAGCATTTTAATTGAGGGCGGCTGAAAATATGCCTGTATTGATCTCCTTGTGAAAGATGGCCTTGCTGTGTCTAATAAAAGGTACTTTGATATCTAGTAAAAATCCCCCAGTTTTTCTGGGGGAAAAAAACTTACGGATAACATATTTATTTAAAATAATATTTAAAAGGTGTATTTAAAAATATTTTACATACATTTAAAAGATACACAATGTAAGATTCTTATGTTAACAAAAGAAATTTTACAATCACAAGGACAAAAATAGAATTTATTATAGGGTGTTGGTAGTGGCTACCAGTAATTTATGACTGTGCCTATTTCTGTCTTTGTTATTTCATTATCAGTAAATAGCTCGTATTTGAAGGAGTAATTATACAGTAAATGCTGCATTCTAAAGATATATAATGCTACGGTGTGTCAGCAGATAGATCACTTTTGCACCCATATAACCTGTGTATACAGCGCCTTCCTATAGGATGGTGGAATTTTTGTCTCAGGAGATCGATAAAGGGCATTATTTTAAAATAAACAGTGGGAGATGACCCTTACGGTCTCTCTGTGTCACTTGTATTTGCTTCTTAAAAATAATAGCCACCTCGTTGTTTTTATTTTTCTAAAGCCCGTAAGTAATATGTTATAGGAAATATGCATTGAAAAACATAAGAAACAAAAAACACCAAGAATCCAACATTTTCCCCTCCTACCAAGAAAACTACTGGGAACATTTTGCAGGTACTATAGCTTTTTTCCTCGCATAAATGGACTAATACAACATAAACTGTTTTGTATCTTGCTTTTTTCACTCAGAAGTACAATATCTTTTCATGTAAATAAATCTGCTCCCACAGTATCATTCTTTTGTTTTTGTTTTTATTTTTTGCGGTACGCGGGCCTCTCACCGCCGCGGCCTCTCCTGCCGCAGAGCACCGGCCCCGGATGCGCAGGCCCAGCGGCCACGGCCCATGGGCCCAGCCGCCCCGCGGCATGCGGGATCCTCCCGGACCGGGGCACGAACCCACGTCCCCTGCATCGGCAGGCGGACTCCCAGCCACTGCGCCACCAGGGAAGCCCCACAGTGTCATTCTTGATGTAACATTGTTTAGTTTCCCTGTTATGTGTTTAGGGATTCTCATCCTTAAAGCCAGTCATAACACATTTCTGTTTCTGTTTTTTATAAGTTGGTGAGTAAAATAATTTGAACACTCCCTGTTTAACAACAGTCTTGAACCCCCGGGAAGTCAGACAGCTGCCATGCTTGCTTGTCCAGGACCCCGCTTTCCATTGCCCTTATTCTTGGTCCCCGTCCCTCAGAGGACAAATGACCAGTCTTGCAAATTCACCTCCAGACTCTTCTCCTGTTCAGGAAACTGTATTCACCTCATCACAGTTTGTATTCAGCACACTGAGATCTCAAGTATGCTTCAAAAGCCCACATGATAAAATTATTTTTTTTAACATTTTTATTGGAGTATAATTGCTTTACAGTGGTGTGTTAGTTTCTGCTTTATAACAAAGTGAATCAGTTATATCTGAGTTAGTTTTTCATTGATCAGGAATAAAGGCTACTTACATTTGCAAAGTGTTATTGACAGAAAAGTGTTTGCAGTTAAGGATCCGTAACCTTTTCTCTTGTCATTTAGAAACAAGAAATTACTGTCAGAAAAATTAAGCGATCAGCTATTTTGAGCACCAAATGCAGTCATTCTAAACATCAGGATCATGAAAGCAGTGATTCAGTTCCTAGTCATTTCTAGTAATTGAAACATACATTTCCTCTCTGTGTAATACAGTTCAATTCCTGAACCAACCATATCGCTTAAAAAGGTGTATGACAAATAAAAGGTATATGACACTTCATGCTTTTTCCTCTTAAGGAGGAACTAGCAGTGTTCACTTGTTAAAGGAGAGAAAGACTGTACAGAGGATTTTAGCCCTTAACCAGCCCTGTGGGATTGGCCTGTGCCGGTGGTTCTCAGCGTGTGGCCCCCCCCACTGGCAGCATCAGCATCACTTGGGAACATGTAATAAATGCAGGTTCTCAGCCCCACCCCAGACCTTCTGTATCAAATCACGGGGCTGAGCAATCTGAATTTAACAAGCCCTCCAGGTGATGCCCACTCGGGTTTGCCCTGTGTGTTCGTTCACTCCGTAAG